TACAGTTCCTAAGCTGGCTAGATGAGAAAATCAACAACTTATGTAAGAAAAGAGAGGAAATCAAGAATGATATTGCTACAATAAAAAACACAATGGAAGGTTTCAACAGTATATTAGAAGAAGAGGAGGACTGAATTAGTGAGTTAGAATACATAGTAGAAAACACCAATCTGAACAGCAATTGGAGAAAAAATTAGAAAGCAGAAGGAGAGCCTAACGGAGCTTTGGGACAATATGAAATGAATAATAGGGGTGTGAGAAGGACAAGAAGAGGAGCAAGGATTAGAAAACCTATTTGAAGAAATACTGACAGAAAACTTCCCTGATTTGGGGAAGAAAAAAAGTCACATAAGCCCAGAGAGTCCCAAACAAGATGAACCCAAAAAGACCCACACCAAGACATGTCATAATTACAATGGCAAACATTAATGACAAAGAGAGAATCTTAAAAGCTGTAAGAGAGAGACAGAGTGTTACCTACAAGGGATCTCCTATTAGACTATCAACTGATTTCTCAACAGAAACACATCAGGCAATAAGGGAATGGAATGAAGTATACAAAGTGATGCAAAGCAAGGGACTGAATCCAAGAATACTCTATCCAGCAAGGTTATCATTCAAAATTGAAGGGGAAATCAGGAGCTTTGCAGACAAAAAAAAAGGGCTAAGGAAGTTTATCACTAAAAAGGCAGCAATGCAAGAAATGCTAAAGGAACTATTATAAAAAGAAGAAATAGCCCTAACCGGTTTGGCTCAGTGGATAGAGCATCCGCCTGTGGACTGAAAGGTCCCTGGTTTGATTCCAGTCAAGGGCATGTACGTTGATTGTGGGCACATCCCCAGTGGGCAGTGTGCAGGAGGCAGCTGATTGATGTTTCTCTCTCATCGATGTTTCTAACTCTCTATCCCTCTCCCTTCCTCTCTGTAAAAAATCAATAAAATATATTTTTTTTTAAAAAAAGGGGGAGGGAAGCTTCCTCCATGTTAAAAAAAAAAAAGAAGAAGAAGAAGAAGAAGAAATAGAAAGGGAAGAAGGAACACAGGCATAAAGAATAAAAATGGCTACAAACAAGTACCTATCAATAATAACCTTAAAAATAAATGGATTAATTGCTCCAATCAAAAGACATCAGTGGCCCTAACTGGTTTGGCTCAGTGGATAAAGCATTTACCTGCAGACTGAAGATTTGTCATATAAGATTTTTATTGTGTCTATTCCCACTTTGCTGAGAGTTTTTATCCAGAAAGGATATAATGTATGGTAGCAATCATCTCAGGTAGAAACTGTAGTTTAACTCTAACCCTGCTGTCTGGTTTCTGTACTTATTTGCTTGCTAAAATAATAGAAAAGTTATTTAGATTTTCTGAATTATATAACTCATCCCAATCAATTGAATACCCTATTGATTGTAATGTGAATATCCCATCGGTTGTGGTCATACTGGTCTTAGAAAGCACATTTTCCTTTACCTGGAAAGGACAGCACAATTATCCCAAGGTCAGAGGGCTCCGGATAATGTGCCCCTGTTGACTCAGTGGTCCTGAGACCCAAGGGCTCTAGACAATGTGTTTCTGTCAATTCAGTGGTTCGCAGACCCAAAACTATAATTTAGATAACATGCTTAAGTAAAACTGCTTCTGCTTCTGTAAACTGCTTTTTTGCAAACCAGGTTCCTCATTCCAAATCTTGGGATGTAACCAATGCCTTTGTGATCTTTGCCTATATAAATCTGGCGTTGGGGCTGGGGCGGACACCATGAGATCTGGGAGAGCGAAATGACCCCTCATAGTCCTGGATTTGCAATAAATGTGACTCTTTAATTTGACTTCTTGAGGCATCCTCGTGTTATTTGCAGGGTACATTACAACAGTATTGGGCCCTAGCTAGTTTGGCCTAGAGACCCTACCTGTGCACGAATTTCATGCACTGGGCCTCTGGTGTATAAAATAAGGTGCAAAACTGCCATTCTCCAGAGCATTATCTCAATCCTTTTAGATTTTGCTTCCTGACAATTGTCACCAGTTTGGCTCAAATAAGCTCACAAAAATTCTTCACAGGTTTGACTGTTCCCTGTGTTGACACAGCCTACCACCCCCCCCCCCCCCCGCCCCCCCACAGCTTGTCAGGGTTTGTCTGTGGCCCCTTTTCGTCCACACCCTTTTGGTATTTCCTAAAGAAGCCTATTTGTTTTTCCCAAAGAGGCCATCTCTCCCCCTTCCTTTTCCCTAAGTTTTACATAAAAACTTTTAACTTTACCTGTTTAACAAGCCAGCTACTTCCTTTGTGGAAGCCCAAATACATACAAACTGGAGTGTGGGTGTTTTTTCCTGTTGGTCAGGCCTTTTCAGGTAAGTTAGCAAGCCCCAGCCACCGAACCAAGAGGTTAGAGAAAGCTTCTTCTTCTTTGCAGAAGCACGTAGAGGTGACTCAGTGATTTGTGGGATTTGTTGTTTGTTTTTTAATCTTCAGCCAGTACTAAAGAACAGGACAAATGAGGCCAACACAGTGAAATACCGATCCGGACAGTTTATACATGGGGTCCATTGTTCTCTTGTGTGTTTTCTTTAATTTTTGTTTTAAAGTTTTTCTAAATGCAATTTCCTAAATTGAAGAAACCCTCAGCCCATGGGGTGAGTCAGAGCCTAGAAGGCATGAGCGCACCCGGCCCTCCCCGCCCCGCCCCTCCCGAGCACTGCCAGGCGCCCGCGGGACTGCGCAGTCCCCCTCCGACCTCCTCCTGTTCTGCTGAGGCGCCACCCAAGAAACACACCGGCTGCGCACCAGGAAGCTAGCCATCCGCCTGCAGCCACGGCCTGGCCGTCCACACCCGCGCCCCTGGACATGAGGCCCGTCTGTTGCTCCGCCCTTTGGCGGTGGCCTGAACCTTAGCTTCCTCATATGTCCGCCCCCCGGGGGTAGGACTCCGGTGTGCGCAGCCAATGGCCAGGGCAGGCCTAGGTCAGGGTTGGGAGTCACCAAAATCACCTCTACCGCTGGCCAGACCCTCAGGGACCCACCCTGTCCGGTGCCCCTGTGAACCCGCCGCCCCTCTCCTTCCTCCCCGGCGCCTCCTGGAGCCCAGACCCTCATCACTTCCCCAACCCGGCGCCGGTTTCCGCTGCCTCTATCACCTTCACCTTCCTCCCAACGCCAGGCACCCCGCCAACCCCTCCCCCCCCCCCCCCCCCCCCCCGGCCCCAGACCCGGCTGCCCTCTCCCCTTCTTCCCCAAAGCTTTTCCTATCCCCACACCACGTGTCCTCCCTTTGCCCCCCAACTCGCCTACCCCCATCCAGGGACAAGAGTACGGTCCCTATCCTCACCCCTGGCCCATCCCCGTTGGTCTATCCAAAATCCCTCCCCGCACCCAGGACACTGCCCTCCGCCTTTCACCCCGCCCAAGTCTGCTCCCGCCCCTGCCCCTGACTGCTGACACCCACCCCAATCCTCCTCACCACTCACACACCCGCTAAGGCCTCCTAGCCTCTGCTGACGCCACAAAGCCTGCGCCCCTGAGGCCACCGCACCCACCTCCCCCTGGTCTCTGTGGCGCAAACGCAGGTTTTCCAGCGCCTCCGTTTGCGCTCGTGGTCCAGGGCGCCTGGTCCGGCAGCGTGCACCCCTCTCCCCGGTGAGTACCAGTCTATCCAGGGGCGGTCCGATGGCCACCCTGTGGGCGCCCGTACACTGAGGTTCCAGCTTGAAGGTTGGAACCGGAAGGGTCACCTGGTTTAGCTCTAATTACAGGAGCATCCCCAGGACCGAGGGCCACAGGCCCACCTCACTGACCCAGAGTCCTTGGCCCCCTTCCCCTGAACCTGACCCAGACCGGTGCCCACCAGACCATCCTGAGCCCATCCGGCTTCAGGTGGGTAGGCAGCAGGAGTGACCGATCCCAAGGGCTCTGCTTAGAGAGAGGCAGCTTCCACAGGGTGAACCCAGTGTCTGAAGTATCAGAGCCATCTCTCTGGTGATGGCAGGGAAGGGAACCCGGATAGTGTTGTGGTTCAGAAATGACTCTCAGATCTACGCTGCCTCGCCCCAGTGACCACCCCATGAGGTGCATGGGGAGACCTTGGATCTGAACTGCATAAGGGCATGGGTGTTCGAACACCAGTGTGTCCGTGCCTCTGTCTGTGTGAGCATGAACCATCGTGTCTTCTGTACTGCATCTTGGCAAAGAACACCAGAGGTGGGTGGTAGGTAGAGCAGTAAGAACATTTTATTCAGGACTGCTGTAGGGGAAGCACAGAATCCCACAGAAAGCTCAACTCCCAGTGCGGATTTATGGTCAAGGTGGGTGAGTGACAGGAAATTACTAACAGGAAGCCACTGGGTAGGGCAGCGGTTCTCAACCTGTGGGTTGCGACCCTTTTGGCAGTCGAACAACCGTTTCACAGGGGTGGCCTAAGACCATCCTGCATATCAGATATTTACATAATGATTCATCACAGTAGCAACATTACAGTTATGAAGTAGCAACGAAAATAATTTTATGGTTGGGTCACAACATGAGGAACTGTATTTAAAGGGCCAGAAGGTTGAGAACCACTGGGGTAGGGGCTTCTATCTAAACCAGGGGTGGGCAAACTTTTTGACTCGAGGGCCACAATGGGTTCTTAAACTGGACCGGAGGGCCGGAACAAAAGCATGGATGGAGTGTTTGTGTGAACTAATATAAATTCAAAGTAAACATCATTACATAAAAGGGTACGGTCTTTTTTTTTTTTTAGTTTTATTCATTTCAAACGGGCCGGATCCGGCCCGCGGGCCGTAGTTTGCCCACGGCTGATCTAAACCCACATATTGGGATTCTTATTAAACTTGGACAACGGAGACACAAACACGGAAGCCCAGGGCCTATTAGGAAAGTTCTGGGAGCCTGAATAGAGTTTGGTCAAGCAGAGAACTTTTCCAACTCTGATTTTTCCTTTTAAAGTCCTCCTTTCCTTTGTTGCATGGATGTCCTGTTAAAGAAAAACTGATTCTGACACTGGTTACACCGGTAAGGAAGACTTTATTCAAGACTATTGCAATAGGGAGGAAGATGGGGTCACCTCTTACTGTAGCCTACACAAAGGGAGGATGGCCCAGGGCACGGTGAGGGGGTTAGTGATAGAAAATCACAATGAAGAGAAATGGGGAGGGATCTTGTTGCTAAACTGACTAGCAGGATTCCTGCACATGCATCACAGGAGGGGTGGAATGGGCTCTAAATGGAATAAAACTGGGCATGGCTAGGGATACAGGTGGCAGCATAGGGGAACCTGGCTGAATTCGGTTGTGGAGAGTCTTTGTCAGCTTTCAGAGAGGCACCTATGCCTCTTACTGAAGACAAGCCAGGTGCCCTAACAGGACCATGTACAGTGCTGTCCGCAAGAGGACACCTCAAGTGCCTGGGGTTCTGGGCAGAGGGTGTGGCCGGATACTCTGTTTCTTTCCCAGGAGCCATGGATGCTGTGGAACTTTCCAGAAAGCTGCAGGAAGAGGCAACATGCTCCATCTGCCTTGACTATTTCACTGACCCTGTGATGACCACCTGTGGCCACAACTTCTGCCGTGAGTGCATCCGGCTGACTTGGGAGAAGGCCAAAGGCAAGAAGGGCAGGAGGAAGCGCAAGGGTGTCTTCCCCTGCCCCGAGTGCCGCGAGCTGTCCCCCCAGAGGACCCTGCGGCCCAACCGCCTGCTGACCAAGGTGGCTGAGATGGCACGACAGCACCCGGGCATCCAGAGCAGGGATCTGTGCCAGGTGCACCAGGAGGTGCTCAAACTCTTTTGCGAAGATGACCAGAGCCCCATCTGCGTGGTCTGCAGGGAGTCCCAGGAACACCGGCCTCACAGAGTGGTCCCCGTGGAGGAGGCTGTGGAGGAGCACAAGGTGGGCCCAGGGGTGAAGGGCAACGGGTCAAGGAGATCTGAGTGCATGTCTGTGTGTCCAGGGGTGTATCAGTCAGATAGGAGAACAACCACTGTAACAAACAGCCCCAACTGCTGGACCCCACAGTGGAAGTGTCTGTAACTCCCGCAATAAAGCAGGTAGGTGGCAGGGCCAGCTGAGCATCCCCTCCACAGTTATAGAGCCCAGGCTGACAAAAGTAGCCTCTAAGCCACTGTGTGGGCAGGCCAGGTGACCCTTTGTAGGGGAGGAAAGGGCCTTTTTCTTCCACCCTAAATCAGACTGAGAAAAGACAAATCAAGGAGAGAAAAGCAAACTGTTAACACATGTGGCCCGCACACATCACAGGAAGAAAGCACAGCAATGTGTGTGGCTGGCTGGGTGGTTTTGTTCAGCATCTGAACAAGGAACAGTACATTTGGAGAGAAGAGACAAAGGGAAAGGTGACAGGCTCCCAAGGGCAGCAACTGGGAAAGTGTCTTGGTCCATTCCAGCTGTTGTCACAGAACACAAGACTGGGCGGCTTATAAACAGCAAGAACTTCATGCTCATGGCTCTGGAGGCTGGAAGTCCAAGACCAGGGCACCAGCACAGTCGCGTGGGGGCTCCTTCCCAGTTCATAGACAGCCAACTTCCCACCGTCCTCACATGGAAGAGGGGGCTGGGAGCTCTCAGCCCCTTCTTCCGCAGCAGCCCCATTCCTGAGGGCTCCACCTTTCTGACCTCATCACCTCCCAAAGGCCCCATCTCCTTGGGGGTTAGGATTGAACATGTGAATTTTGGGGGACATGAACATTCAGATCATAACAGAAAGTATTTTGGGGAAACCAACAAACGATAAAGTTCATCAGTGGTGTCCCACTTTCCACCTCCTTCAGAGCCATAAAACTTCCCCTGGGAGGCGGACCTGTGGCAACCCTCATTCCTCAGCAGTTTCTGCTGTTAGTCACATAACAGGAGCCTTGGAAGGTGTCTTTCTGCTTCCAATTATTAAAATAATTCTCACGCCCAAGGGGCAGGCTATGGGGTGCATTTCCATTCCCTTTGAAGCAGCTTCAGAGGGCACCTCCTGAAGTGGGTGTGCAGGGGGCCTCCAACTCCTATCCCACGGTCTGTTGTCTGCAGCTGAAGCTGGAGGGTGACATGGGGCACCTGCGGGAGGAAATGGCGAAGACTGAGAAGCTGCAGACCAGGGAGCAGCAGGCCTTGGCCGAGTGGCAGGCAGGTGCTGAGACCTTGAGGAACGGGCGGGAAGGCCTGGCCAGGCCCCAGGGTACTGCAGGGCTTCTAGAACCTGTGGACCCTCAAGGTGGATGACAGCATAAGACCCAGGAGAGGCACGGAATTCCCACCAGAGTCAGGACTGAGAATGTGCACTCAGCCCAGATTGGCCACTTTGAAGCAGGGACTGAGGGGTACAGAGGCCTTGATGGCCATTTGGGCTCATGCGGTCACCCCACAGTGATGGGGGCTCTGCATGGCCCCTCCCCCCACCAGCTGTGCTGGTTTTCTGTGGGTCACTGTGGCCATGTGATGTGCCAGCATCCCAGGAGTGGCCCCTCCAAGTTGGTGGGCACAGGATGGTAGTCCCCTGGCAGTGCCTCACTTCCAGGTCCCACCCTGCAGGAGAAGGTGAGGAAGCAGAGACAGCGCATTGTGACGGAGTTCAAGAAGATGGCTGCCCTCCTAGTGGAGGAGGAACAGCGCCTCCTGGAGGCCCTGCGGCAGGAGGAGCAGGACACCACTGCCAGGCTGCAGGAGAGTATGGTTGCACTAGAGCAGCAGAGCTGCTCCCTGGAGACCCTGTTGCTGCGGCTGGAGGACTGTTGCACTCGGGAGCCACTGCAGATGCTGCAGGTGAGGCTCACCTGCTCACCTGGCTGGGCGGGGTGGACACAAGTTCTGGCCCAGGTGTGGTGGACCTGCCAGGGCAAATATAGGCCAACAGGGAAGGCCCTGTCTTCATCAGCTCAGGCTGCGTAACAAATACCACAGGCTGGGGCTTAAACACTTATTTCTCAGTCTGGAGGCTGGAAGACTGGTTCTCCTGAGGCCTCTCTCCTTGGTGTGTGGATGCCGACTCCTCCCTGTGTCTGCACGTGGTTGTCCACTGTGCAGCTGTCCTGCTCTGCTAAGGTCACCAAGTCACATTGGACTAGGGCCCACCCTTGTGACCTCATTTCACCTTCATTACCTTTTAAAGGCCCCATCTTCAAATATAGCCTCATCTGAGGTCCTGAGGGCTGGGCTCCAACATGTTGGCTTGGGGCAGTGGTCGGCAAACTGTGGCTCTCGAGGCACATGTGGTTCTTTGGCCCCTTGAGTGTGGCTCTTCCACAAAATACCACGTGCGGGTGCGCACGTACAGTGCGATTGAAACTTCGTGGCCCATGCACAGAAGTCGGTATTTTGTGGAAGAGCCACACTCAAGGGGCCAAAGAGCCGCATGTGGCTCGTGAGCCGCAGTTTGCCGACCAGGGCCAAGCGACACAATCAGCCTGACGGACTCCAGTCCTAGACACCTGTGTTCTGCATTCCCTTCCTAGTCTGAGGGGTGGGGGATGGCCCAGGGGCAGCTGTCATCCACTTGGTGACTTGGGGCAGGGACACACCAGCCAGGTCAGGCCCAGTGAATTCAAGGCAGGAGCAAGTCATGTGATTCTACTGAGGATTTGGAATCGGGGAGAAGGTGCCGCTGGACTGTCAGGGATGGGCTTGCACAGGAGGCCAGAGAAGTGGGAGTGATTATGTTGGCCGACAAGTGGGTAACTGTCTTGTGAATTGTGTGGAAAAATGGAATCCATAGCAAAAAACATATTTCGTGCTGTGAGTCATCACACACACAGCGTGTTTATACAACGGAAGCAAATGCCACATGCAAGGTCAGCACCAGTCTCGTGCCTGTTGTCCTGGCATCTTTGGACAACAGTGTCCTGGTTTAGTTAACGGACTATGCACTCGCCCCAACTTTGGGGAATACTTGGTCTTCTAGTAAAAAGCAGCCTATTCACCACCCACTAAACACTCCTGAGTTGCCCAAGGCCTGCAGTGTGGCAGCGCCCTTGGGTACCCCCCCCTCCCCCCGTTGAGAGCAGGACAGCTTTTGTGTTCTTACTCACATGCAGGGGGATAGTAGGAGACCCTCATGGCCAAGAGAGAGATCCATTCTGAAAACTGGAAAGAGGGTCACAGGAAAGCATTATGAATTCTCCTTGCTCTGCAGGCCAGAAATGTCTACACAGGGGGCTTGGGGACGCCCCAGATCCCTAATAAGATGTAGCAGCCCTCCCTCTCTCTGTGTTTTTGCAGGACATGAAGAAGCCTCTGGACAGGTATATGACCGCCTGAGGTGCAGGCAGGGAGGGCTTCACATGGGGCCAGAGGGGTCAGTAACATCTGTTCCCTCTGGAGGAAGAACAGCTTGAGTGTGCAGTACCCAGAGGCCACCCCCATCTCACTGAGGACTGTCTGCAGAGTCCCGGGGCAGATAGAGGTGCTCAAGAGTTTCCAAGGTAAGTGGGGCCAGTCTCTCGACCAGAGCCACCCCTGGGAGCCTTGATGTTCACTGGGAATTCACACCCTACCCTTACCTGCCACTCCCAGATGCCCAAATGGTCCCCAGCTCATCTCCTTGGCACCATCAACATCGGCAGCTGGGGTACGGCCCATGCAGAGATCCAGGCTCACAGCTGGACTCAGCCAAGGGGAGGCCTGGGAGGGTGGCGGTCAGGGAGAACAGGGATGACTCAGCCCCATCCCTGTCTGCAGAGAACGTGGTACCCGACCCTGCCACAGCGTACCCCTACCTCCTCCTGTACGAGAGCCACCAGAGGCACTACCTCAGCACGCCACCAGACGGCACACCCTGCAGCAAGGACAGGTTCCTGGCCTACCCCTGTGCAGTGGGCTGCCAGACCTTCTCCTCAGGGCGGCACTACTGGGAGGTGGGCATGAACCTCACAGGGGATGCTCTGTGGGCCCTGGGTGTGTGCAGGGACAATGTGAGCCGGACGGATAGAGTCCCTAAGTCCCCGGAAAATGGATTCTGGGTTGTACAGCTGTGCAAGGGAAAGAAGTATGTGCCCCCCGTGTCAACCGTGATCCCCATCACACTGACGGAGCCCCCCAGCCATGTGGGCGTCTTCCTGGACTTTGAGGCTGGGGAGGTGTCTTTCTACAATGCCAGCAGCGGGTCCCACCTGCACACCTATGCTGAGCCAGTCTTCCCAGGCCCCCTGAAGCCCTTCTTTTGCCTTGGGGTCCCCAAATCTGGCCAGATGGTCATCTCAACAGTGACACTGTGGGTGAAGGGATAGGCGTGTAGGCAGGGAGTGCGGGCACTCCACTTTCTCTAGAAAGTGAGGTGGTCCTGCGCAGCGGGCTGCCTGCCCTGCTTATCTCCGAGGAGCTGTGGAGAGCCCTGCTGGCCCAGGGGGCTCACCAAGCCGAAATAGAATCGTGATTAAAGCAGTTACACCACGGACTGTATTCACAGGTGCTTCATAGAGGGAGCCTGTACCAATCCCTCAGTAACACTCAGGGACAGGCCGCGGTGCTGTAGCTTTTTAGACATGTTGCCCTCCCTGCCGCTCACTGGGTCCTCCTGGTTTGGGTCGCTATAAGTAAACCTGGGGCCTGAGGGGTCCACCTTTCTTGTTATCAGCAATCCCACGTTTGGGTCTTTCATAGGGAAAACAAGGAAGTACAAGTTTTCAAGCTGAACCCCTAAAAACCTCAGAGCTGCCCACCCCCATCCCTTTCCATCCCCTTTGAACCTGCGGGAAGTGGGGGGTTACGTTCAACGAGGATCATGGGTGTGGGCGGGTCCTTTCCTCTCACTCCCCACCCACCCTCGCAGTTTCCGGCGTATTAGCCCCCCTAACAGTCATCAGCACCCCAGAATACAGTCAACGCACTCCTACCTCAACACGACCAGAGTCCCTATGGGCAGAGCGCTGCCACCCATTCCTTCCGACCGTCCTGGGTGCACGGGGGCGGCTGGGGCTACCCTAGTCCTAGTGGTCGCTGCGCCGCGAGGACCCCAGCGACCATGCGGGGCGCCCCGCCGGCCCGGCCCCTGAACCCCACCCTTCCCCTGGCCTGAGGCATAGCCAGGCCGCGCGACCCCCGACGAGCCGGAGCCACGAGAACGCGCACGGGCGGCAGCGGAGACGCCAGGTCAGAGGGCGAACAGCCTCCCGCGGGCCGCGTGACGGGCCGCAGCCAATCCCGGCCCAAAGCGGGTGTTTCCCGCCCCGCCCCCAAACAGCTGCTTCCTGCTTCCGCCGTGGTTCTTCCTGCCTGCTTTCGGGAGCCGAGGCGCCCCGTGCACCCTGCGCCTCGCGTTCCCACAGCCCGCGCACCCCCGGCTCCCGGAGTCCCGGTCCCCGCAAGTCCCCCGGAGCCCCGACGGCGGCAGGCCAGCGCCCGACCGGGGAGAGCGCCGCCTTCTCCGCGTGACCGCGCCATGGCCGCCTCCGACTTGTCCACCAACCTCCAGGAGGAGGCCACCTGCGCCATCTGCCTCGATTACTTCATGGACCCGGTGATGACCGACTGCGGCCACAACTTCTGCCGCGAGTGCATCCGGCGCTGTTGGGGCCAGCCCGAGGGCCCGTACGCCTGCCCCGAGTGTCGCGAGCTGTCCCCGCAGCGCAATCTGCGGCCCAACCGCCCGCTGGCCAAGATGGCCGAGATGGCGCGGCGCCTGCACCCGCCGTCCCCGGTGCCCCAGGGCGTGTGCGCCGCGCACCGCGAGCCGCTGGCGTCCTTCTGCGCCGACGAGCTGCGCCTGCTGTGCGCGGCCTGCGAGCGCTCGGGGGAGCACTGGGCGCACCGCGTCCGCCCGCTGCAGGACGCCGCCGAGGACCTCAAGGTGCGCGCGGGCGGGGCGGGTGCGGCCGCGCTCAGGTCTGGCCTGCGTTGTGGTTTTGGGGTGGGGGGCGCTTAGCCTTTCCCAGACCGGCATTTTCGCGGGGTTGGGGCACTTTGGGGCACCACTCCGCAGTGGGGAGCCAGCGTGGGGACCTGGGAGGAGAAGGCGGTCTCTGAGGCCGAGGTCCCGCTGTGTTGGTGGGGCCCACCGTCTGGGGCGGGCACTGGGCCGGGGTGACCGAACGGTGGCTGGGATAGAGCCCAGCGCGGGAGAAAGTGGGAAGAGAACAGCAGAGGTGGTTTCCTTCAGGTGGGACGAATGGGGACTCCTCTCCGGTGGGAGGGGGTGCAGTGGCCAGGGCCCGGCAAGCTTCTGAGTGGATTGCTTGGGGCCACCACTGCCGTCTGACACACCCGAGCTCAGCTGTGCTTAGATCTCAGGCTGAGAAGCCTTGTTTTCCTGTCCTGGAAACGCATTTCCTTAAAACCCAAACTCACACCAGCACTACCCGCTCCGCTGGGGGGCAAACGGCTCACTTGGCCTGTTGCCTTAGCAGGGTTTGTTTCTGGAACTCAGGTATTGATGCACGGGTGGCATCTTTCAGACTTTGTGACTGGCTTGCATTTTGCTTCACGGCCAGTAGTGGGTGTGTGTGTGTGTCGTTGGGCACACCATGCACAGCATTTAGTCAGCATTAGAATTAATACTTGGCCAGCAGGTCACTGTCATAGAACAAGCCTGTGGGGTACCAGAATAAACCTGTTCCATGATCCAGTCTGGACATGGATTTCTGTGGATTTTCCTCTCACTTGGGGGTATTACATGCATGCAGGAATGCCTGTCTACTCACGTCCAGCAGGTTTGCACTCCTATCACCAAACACCCGGATCAGGGCGCAGAACGTGGCGGTGAGGTGAAGAGTCACCACAGCCCCCTAAGGGCTCCTTGTAGCTGACCTGATAAAGTCTCGGCGGGCAGCACTAACTACTGTAGAGGAGGAAAAACCTTTTACTCTAGCCTGTTAGGTTCTGTGACTGAGACTTGCAAATTAAACTGACAAATGTTAATCTGAACAGATGAAAAGACATAGTTTTATTAGTCTTAAATTTCATACGGCACAATGACTTCGTAGAAGAGTACAAAACCAAAATGAGTGCTTAGACTTAAGAGCTCGTATTCCATTTTAACAGGATGATAAATTGTGGAGAAGTGACTAGACAACGGAAAGGGTTTGGGCTGCTAGGGCCAATAACTTGTGGGAAAGGAACTAGGAAATGATACGGGGGAACCACTGGAAGGCTGGCATTTTTGTAAGGTCTGTTCAGCACATTCAGGGATGACACCTCATCTTTGGTGGAGTGTGTGCCCCCTTCCTGGTACAGGGTGGCCACCCTTCTGGGAAATTCATGTCCTGCCTTTAGGCAGAAGGAGGAGGGCAGAGGGCTCTTACACAACTGCTGTTTCTCCCTCACACTGTACTGGTGCCTACTTTGTCTTAATGCTGGGGATGCCCCAGCAAGCAAATAGGGTTGAAGTAAACAGTTGGGCGTTGCTTGAGGTCAGGCTCAAGGCAGCTGGATCCAAGTGTGAGTGTCCCTTGGCGCCTTCCGATGAAGCTGAACTTTGGCAAGCTCAGAACAGGCACTGAAGTGAAAGGATTCGCAGGAAAGAAGGCTGCGATGAGGTAGGGAGTCAGGCTGGGAAGGTCGGGAGAGGAAGGAAGGCAGGAAGGCTGGAGAAAGGAAAAAAATGGGCTAGGGGCTGGGTCAGCCTGGGTGGTGGGAGGGCATCCTGGGAAGAGGGCATCTCCTAGCAGATTCAATTTGTTCAATCCATTGTGTGGGGCTGGGCAGTGGGAATAGGGACAGGGCCCAGTGGGCTTACTGGCTGCCCTCACTTCCTTGCAGGGCAAGCTGGAGAAGTCCCTGGACCACCTGCAGAAGCAAATGGAAGATGCCCTGCTGTTTCAGGCTCAGGCGGAGGAGACCTGTGCCCTGTGGCAGGCAGGTGGCTGGGCGCTGAGGTCCCAGGGGTGGGGAGGTGGGGCATTGGTGCCCCCACTGCTGGATGCCGCTGTCACACTAATGCTCCTCATAACACAGCACTCCTGCTCCAGACCCTCAGCCCCGGGGTGAGTTTGGGCGGGGGACAGGTGGTGTGTGGAGCCCTGGTGGTGGGTTTGTGGCGCCCAGCTCACTGGCCCCCTACGCCCCCTGCAGAAGATGGTGGAGAGCCAGCGGCAGAATGTGCGTGCAGAGTTTGAGCGGCTGCGCCGCCTGCTGGCAGAAGAAGAGCAACGGCTTCTGCAGAGGCTGGAGGAGGAGGAGCTGGAGGTGCTGCCCCCACTGCAGGAGAGCGCTGTCCGCCTTGGGCAGCAGAGCGCCCAGCTAGCCGATCTTGTTGCTGAGCTGGAGGGGCGCTGCCAGCTGCCGGCGTTGGGACTGCTGCAGGTGAGCACGTGCCTGGAATGGGCACACAGGGGCTCTAATGGGAAGGGGTGCAGACCTGGGAGCAGGAAGGAGAAAGCCCTCAGTGGAGCAAGCTCTCTGAGCTTGTCCTCTTCTGGATGCCCTGTGTCCTGCCTGTGACATACTGGGGTGAGGACTGGGACTGGTGAGGGCCTTATGGAGATGCCACTGCCTGGGGAATAGATATGAACCCCAAGCCCCACTGAGAACTGCTGTTGGTACCTGTCCGGGAGCCCCATTGGAGACGGAAGAAGCAGAGCTCTGGCCCCAGCTACACCAGAGTTTGGGGTTCTGGGTGCCCCTCCAGGATTCCCCCGTAACCACCCTCTGTGGGTACCGAGCATTTTCCTAAAGGGGTGTGTATCTAGTTCCCACTGCCCAGAGTGGCCAGGTCATCTCCACAGAGGTCAACTTCCTTCAAGGTTCAGGCCCCCTCCCCACCCCTGGGCAGGGGCCCTTTCTCCATCCCTCTCCTAAGTGGTTAGGGCAGTTCCAGACCTTGACAACCAAGACTATCCCCACCCCCACTTCCCCTAACCCAGTAAAACAAGTAAGGACGCTGTTTCTAACTGCTTTGCACCTGGCCCTTTGCATGTGCCTCCCCCAGGCTGGTACTGTCGGTTTCTCCTGATGAATCCTCAGGTTTCAGAAACCCACTAGGCTCCCTTTTCTTTAGAGGCCTAGCAAGTGCCCAGGCTCCCCAGACAGAATCAACTACTGTGTGTGAAATTCCCTGCCCCTAAGGAAACCCACGTTGGGCACAATATCTTACTTTCCCTCTTCATCCTTTATGGCCTGGTAGGTGGTACACAGTATGGTTAGAAGGACTGCTTGTGGGGTTCATTTGATTGACAAAGTGGGCTGCGTCCCTGCTGTGTGCTAGGCAGTGTTCTAAAAAGACAAGCTGTTTACTGTCAGGAGCTGGCATTCCAAATAACAGATTGTCTCTGTCAGCTCAGGCTGTGTAACAAATGACACAGGTGGCTTAAGCAACAGACGTTTATTTCTCCCAGTCCTGGAGCCTGAGATCCAGGTGTGGGCAGGGCCGGTTCTCCTGAGGCCTCTCTGCCTCAGTGTACACCTGTGTCCTGATTTCCTCTTCCTGTAAGGACACCAGCCATATAGCATTAGGGTCCACCCTGGTGACCTCGTCCTATCTAATAAAGAGGTAATATGCTAATTGACCATCACTCCAATGCACAAGATGGCCGCCCCCATGTGGTCAAAGATGGCCACCCCATGTGGACACAAGATGTCCAGCAGGGGAGGACAGCTGTGGGGGAACCAGGCCTGTAGGGGAGGGCAGTTGGGAGCGACCAGGCCGGCAGGAGAGGGCAGTTAGGGGCAATCAGGCCAGCAGGGGAGCAGTTAGGCATCGATCAGGCTGGCAGGGGAGTGGTTAGGGGGTGACCAGGCCGGCAGGGGAGGGCAGTTAGGGGCAGTTGGGCTGGCAGGGTAGCAGTTAGGTGTTGATCAGGCTGGCAGGGAGTGGTTAGGGGTGATCAGGCTGGCAGGCAGAAGCGGTTAGGGGCAGGCAGTCAGGCAGGTAGGCAGGTGAGCGGTTGGGAGCCAGCAGTCCTGGATTGTAAGAGGGATGTCCGACTGCCCATTTAGGCCCAGTGGGATCGGGCCTAAACGAGCAGTCGGACATCCCTCGAGGGGTCCCAGATTGGAGAGGGTGCAGGCTGGGCTGAGGGACACCACCACCCGCCCCCCCCCCCCCCCCGCCCCCGCCCAATGCATGAATTTCATGCACCGGGCCTCTGGTTTTAATATCATCACCTCTTTAGGAA